ATTGCAAGTCTTGCAAAAACAAACAACTTTTAAATATAAATCCACCGTCTATCTTTGTTAACTTCTAGTAATTAATCAAAAACTCCAATTTCCAATTGTATTAAATAGTGTATCAACTTACATGGGCATACACTTATATGGGCAATTGAGTTTATCAGTTGCCATGCATTCTTGTATTCCATTAAAAAATATTTCAAAACCATTTTTCAGTTTAAAGAATCTATTGACAAGGTTATAACAATCGTTTGTCCAATCAGGAAATTGTTAAGGGACAAATGGACTAGAGTGAAATGGAGCGTGTTGTTACAGAGATGTATTTGTTTGCGTGTGTCTGTGTGCGTATGTCAGTGTGCGTGTGTCGGGCGTGCGTATCTGTTTGTTGATTGGTTCGTATTTCAGAGCAGGTGTGTTCGGCCCAGACGAATCACTACGACAACAATGACAATTTGTATCCAATTGTTTTTTTCCTGTCCAATAGCATTTCTATTTGTTTACAAAAGATTCAAACATCGATAATATTTTATACATAGTTGGTACTCACTAGTGTATACTAAATTTATATTACCTTTATTTTTGAAATAATCGGTGTATTTTCAATCAAGTCTATAAATTATAACCTAATGTTTGATGTATCATTTCAGTTTTTCCTTCAACCACATGAATGAACATTTATTTAACCTTATTTATATTTATTAGGATTGTCAAGAACTTGATTTATATTTGTAAAAAATTTATAGAGAATGCTCGAATAAGTAAGTAAATTTCAAAATAAATATTCTCTTGTGTGATAAAATATCTTATTACAAATTGTTCGTAAGCAATTTTGCTGAAGGTTTTTAACATTTACCTTATCAAAACATAAAACTTCTTTAATCAATACACCTTCATACTGAACCTACTGTCCAATAATGTTCTGAAGCACTCTAAACTTCGTGTAATTTTGAAGTTTTTAATAACTCTAAAACAAACTTTCTTAGTTTCAAAGACATCAAAGAGGCAAACTTTTTAATAGTGGTTAGGTTTAGACTTGGGTTTGCATGGCATGCTGGGATTGTTAGTTAATGGTGGTCATCTAAATACAACTTTGGACTGCTTGGCTAGTGACATTTAAAATTCAAATTCTATTTTTATGATTAAAACTAACAAAGATTCTCAAAATATTGTTAGTTTTGTAGTTTTATTTATGCACTTACCAATGAATCCCTAATTCTCTAATACATGTTAAATACTTTTAAATTGTAGTTTCGATACTAATAATAGGTTGTTAAAAATTCTTGATTTCAATAAATATCCTGAATCACATAATTCATGCAATAGATGGTTTTTTAATCGTGCTATATTGAATTTGTCGATTCAAAACCATGATGCTTTTTGATAAACAATTTCTTAAAAACTTACAAATTATTAGATTTGTTGTTTACCTATAAAGCTATTATTGGCTTGTGTGAGCGACAGGTTCAATTTTAGGTATATAGCAATATCAACTTTTGTGTATTTTTGACCTAAATTGCAACTGAATATAACCTATAATCAATTATAAAGCCATGTTATCGTTGTATTGTTTTGATACGTATTTTAAAGGTCGCGAATGTGGAAAAAATTCAGAATTTTCGCTAAATAATTCATACGATTCATACAAGACAAATATTCAAGACATTTAAATATGTTAATTTCTTTTTAATGCATCGACTTAAGATGTTTGGGAGCAATTAAAGTGTCTTATCCGAGAACTTCACAAAATTTTGTGCGATCATTTTACCATGCAGTTACACATAGGAAACACCCAGAAGTTCTAAGTAACCTATTGGTTTCAGAGCTCAGCTTTAATCCTAAAAAAAAGCTTATTTTTTTATTGGGTTCGTAGGTTCAATATCAAGCGGAAATCTTCCTGAACCCAAATTTCAATTCTCATCGGACTATAATGGTATATAACAGATATAGCTGGGTGGCTCAGTGGTTGTAGTACTCGCCTAGTAATCAAAGGTCTCCTGATGGTTTGATCCTGGCAAAAGCGTGTAGCTTTTTAATGGTTTTAAACTGGACACAGCTGTCCTTGATCATTGGGCTTTTAATAAATGGTTCTGACTAATGTAAGAGCTGATCTTAGTCAGTAACTGTTATATGCTATACTTAAAAGTTAATTATGATATTATAATGTTGACATGTTGCCACCCTGCGAGGTGAATCAGGGTGGGAGGTTCTTCTTGAAAGAGGCTCTCTCTCTTAAGATGGTTTTACTGGAATAAAGATGGTGTTTCCTCCACTTGGGTTTTATTTAAATTATAAGCCCATATAAAACAGTAACTAAGCTAGACAGATCACTTTCCTCCATTCTACACTCATATTTAACTCATATTAGGGTTAAAATACGCACCTTGGTGGCGTCTCCATCTCAAGAATTAATTGATAATTGACAACAATAGATAGTAACAAAAACCTTGGCCTTGGTCTAAAACCATGAACATTGTTTAGTCCCCTCAAAGAAATAACTCTAAAAATTTGAACTAACAGTGTAAAGGTAATAAAATATATTTAAATCAATAAAATAAATCAATATTAATTGTAGTACTGATTTACTGACAAGTAAAACAGTAGATGGAAATCAACAAACACATCGTTTAAAACACAAAATATCGCAATTTTTATTTTTTTGCAACACATTTACTGTATTTACCATTGCAAATGTTTTTGTGACAAACGTATAAAAATAAATGAAATATTTTCAGCTCAGTACAAAGAGGCACGCGATCTTTCTCCATAGCATTCCATGTGTGCGTGGAGGGCGATATGGAGATATGGGAAGTCAAAAAACAAACACGCACAACCCATACTGTCGAGACGCAGACATATTGTCCTCTGTATGCACTGTGTAGCTTTGTACGGTAACAATATTACTCTGTTGCCGATATACAATAATAAATGCAGTGGTTAAATGTGGGTAATTATTTAATAAACATCTATTGGCTAGTTCATTCCTACCACCTTATCTACCCCAAACTCCGTTCGCAAAAACTTGATTTTTACCTCCACAGATTTTGTAGAATACATTTATCATTTGAAGTGCAACGAAAGTGTATTGCAGATTAAATATTATTTAATATTCTACTCAATCTTTTATTTATGCTATGAGTTTTATTTAATATACCTATAATAAGCTCAATGTTTACAAAAACGTTCATAAAAACCATTCATACTGACACATTTACTTAACTGTGTCTGTAGACCTTAGCTATGAGACACGTTAGGGTGAAATGAAAAGGAAAATAAAAAGAAATTGTTCCTTTATCTTAACTATTCCTTCCTATAGAACCAAGCCTTTATTCTATAGTTCATCAGTTATTTGTGGTAATATATTTTCCGGCTATAGTTATTAACTGTAGATAATTGATAAAAAAGGTTTTCCAAAAAATAGTAGTATGATATATCTATTTTTTAATTACTGTCACAAAATGAGACAAATTCGTTATTTATTGTGTTGTAGCTAATAACAAGCACTCTACCACAATACATAACTCTATTACTTTCTGTAGCATTTCAAGTGGTTTCATATATGACCATGAACAAATTAAATATTTACATTACGAATATTACTTACTCAAAGCTCAGAATTTACAATGATTAAAAAGATAAAACTCAGAAACAACTCTCACTTCGTTGTAATGTAACACAAACGAAATAACTAATCATTATTTCAACAGAGTGTTCAAAAAAGGTGGAGACATAATTTACCTAGTGCTTCTTTGGATCAAAATAATGAGAAAATCAAGAATTAAAATTTTTCCAAAATCGCTTCGTTAGCCAGATATCCACCATTTTGTATTTAAGTCATGCAACTTGATGTGTGTGTTGGTGGGTATGTTAAGGTAGAAGATACCCATGTTAGAAAAAATGTTGACTCGACAAAACCTTAATACCTAGACCAAAGATGGATGGCAAGAAAGTTAACAGTATATATTATAAGAGTATGTTTTCTAAGAACATTTACATTTTGACGTATCCACATAGCACTTAGTTTTCCCCTTTCCTCAATTAATTAGGACTAACGAAAATAGTAAGTATTCCACAGAAATCAATGTCATCTATGTGTTCTATTTGAACGGTTATAAAAATAGTTTAAAGTTAGTTAAAATAGAATCATTTTGATTCTTCTTAACTCAAGTTTTTAACATATAAAACCTAAATATAGCTTTCTACCAACACTTAAAAATTTCGCCCCAACAATAGTGTATTTGTAGTATTTTATAACATTAATCACATTTTAATTTTAGTAACAGACATAACTTATCAAATTAAATATATTATTAAGGTTGTTTAAATACCTGTAATGTCGATAATCCAAATTTGGACTCTCATTTGGATTCTCAACATTACAGGTATTCAAACCACCTTAATTGTATATTTGTAATTCGGAGGCTGTCCGTTCAAAGAATAAATATAGTTAATTACATTTTCTAACTTTATCTGAACCGTACACAGATCGTAAAGACCATAATTATGATTAAAGATGCTTAAAGAGTGCATAAAGGATTTTGATACAAAGTCTTGTTTTATATTTTGAAACCTAAGCTACAGACAAAAAATAAATATTTTAATCTTTGTAAAAGTATTTAATGTAGGGTTAGAGTATATAACTCTTAGGAAAATTGGTTTGATACATTTTTTGAACTATTTGAGAAAAGCGAAAGTATATTATACAAAAAATTATAATGTAATATTGATGTATATTACAATTATAATTATTATCTAAGCCACATTCAAAATAGTTTAACAAAAATCACACCCTCTAGTAGTTAAAGAAGTTTAAAAAGAAAATTATTCACACTAAATCCTTATAATTCATGTATTTATGATTTTAAACAATTTTTTTTACCACGAATAAGTTTAAAACTTAAAATAGATATTTTTATGTAACTTTATAATGTTTATGTCTTAAATATTTGTCTAATTATAGTGTAAACCTTCATGCAATAGAAATTAGTAAACAAGAAAAATGCGCTTACCATTTAGACATCAATTCAAGGTTTCGTTACATTGTACGCTCACACCGAAACAAACACTTTACGTCTATCGCGCGGACCTGGAGCGCGGAGTGCGCCGTCCTCCGTCTGGACGTCAACTGCCGGGCGTCACCCGCTTCAACCCCACCACAACCCCCTCACTACCACTGCGGACACATCCATCAGCTGATGATATCATCGATCCTGCCGATAAGTTTTGTGATTCGGAATCCAATGGTGATAAGAGTAATTAACTGCCTTTGTTGTTTTCGTCTGTTGCATTGTTTTGTTTGTGGATTGTACCTGTTGTGCTGTAAAAGTAAAATAAGTGAAATGGTGTTTTTGTAACGTATGATCTGAGATGATCAAAGGAGTAAAGTATTGTTACTGTAAATGTCATACTCAATGCTGACCGCAGTGAGTAATGATAAGATAAAACAGATGATCGGGTTTGAGAGCAACGATAGTTTTTTCTACGCACTTAAAAAGGCAAGCGTTTTTTGTTTTGACTTTAAAAGTCATTTTATCATGTTTGGAAAGGGACAGAACATTATGTTGGTGTGAAATAATGTCATTTTTTCTTCGTAAAACTAAAATTTTTTGGTATTTGAGTTTAAAAAAAAGATGTATTGAAATTATAAACTTGGCCTGACTTAACGGGGCAATCTTTATTGGAAATATGTTGGATAGTTAGTAATTGGATAGTATTTAATTAAATTGGAGATGGAACTCCTATTATGATGGTTTATTGAAATGGGATTATTTAAATTTCCTGTTATATTATTTTGCTTAGACATATTGCATAGTAATCTGTTTATAATCATCACGAAAATATATAGAGATAAAAGAAAAACTACTTCTATATACCTTATTCTGTAGCTTGTCAATTAAAAACCATAAATTGATCCTTAACTATAATAAGGACGATAATAAAGTCCCTTACTTAGCTTATAATTTCTATAATACATACGGTTATAACGTTATAAGTTATATCACTGTATTTAGATACAACTAAAATATTTCTCAATCCAATCTAAAATCTGAACTTAAAAAAGTATGGTACTTTTGCGTTCGCTGAAATCTATTTATGTTCCAACTGACGTAAAAGTGTGAATTACAAAAAGTATTCTTTACCTAAAATTTGTATGTATACCTTAAGTCTTAATACATTGTTCATACGTTGATATTTTAATATCGTTAAAATGAAATGATGATATCGTTGATTCTCGTCATTCGCCTATTAGGTGTGATGATTGGAATGTCCAATCAAAATTGATCACCACTACCATCTTGTGTATTTACCGTCTTGTCAGTAAACAGTATAAGTGTAAATATATTATTACAGTATAAGTGTTATTTGACGTTTTTATGGTTTCAGGTAAATTAAAAACAAGTCCGATGCTAATCAAGAAGTTATTTTAAATTGTTGTAAAGTTGGTTGAATGAAGAGTAATAAAACAAGAAAAACCTCAAACTATAAACGAAACATAATGCATTTAAAATGTATACACCGATCCACAAGGCCAAAAAGGAGTGTATTTTATCCTATTATCAATAATATAACATTTATTATCAAATATAACAGTGTTTTTATCCTATGAAATACAAAATGTGAGGGATGAAACATAGTGAATTGTCAAACAAAACCCTCTCAGTTTCTACAACTTTATGCTCTGTTCGTGGGAATAAAGAACGAAGCTAAATGTAAAAATGAAATGTTTGCCTACTTTAGGTGACAAAGTGGGAATCGATGGTGCGACGGTAAGCCAGGTGAACAGAACGAAGTCTACGTCATACGGACACGCACACTGACAACACTGCTCATCCTTTCTTAAAAAAATTAAAAAAATCTTTTTACGTTCAGGGTTTATTTTAGTTTTGATGGGTTTGTGTTGTTTAAAGAATAATCCCAAATAACCAAGTCACTACAAGTACGGACCATGGGAGTCTGCAGTTGAGGGAGGAGCCTATTTACCACGTGACTTCGAAGGAGCCAATGAGGACAGTGCGGTGTTGCCAAATCTAATAATACCAGCTGATTTGAAAATATTGTTTACTATGTTTCAATTAGTGTCAAAGAATTAGTAAACGGGTAATGTTACAACGTCGTGCTAGTACAGTATGTGTATTGGCTGCTGCCAACTGCAGACTCTCGTGGTCCCTAGTATAGTTAGTATTAGATTGTATATGCTTTCAGTAGGTTTTAATAGTCTCTAACATCACTTAATTTCGTAGCTTTACTAGCTTGACACGATAATACGTTTGTGAAATTGTGCGTAGTGGGAGTAATAAAATAATAACGGAATACAGGATTAAGCTGAGACACCTAACCAACCCCATATATTTATCATATATTTATAATGACATGTCTTTGTAACAAAAGTTGAGGATTTCCTTTAATTTCCATATTGTTTCCTTTCTAATGATAACATAGCTAAGAGAGCGATTTACCTATTCATTGTGAAATGATTTGGTGGTTCGAAATAGTATTTAGTTGCAGAGTCCTTATTCTGCTCGCCAAGTAATAGACTATTTTATGGTTGAATACAAACAGGTCAATAGCTTCCTGACGGAATGAAAGTGGATCCAGCTCTTCATGGTTGTGATGGAATTAATTGTCTTAGTTAACAATCTTAGTTAGGAAACAAAGCAATACACGTTATGTAACAGCAACTATAGTTCGGCCGCTTAGAAAACGACCTGCGCGCTAATGCTAAACCAATGCTGGAGTAGGTCGTTTTCTAAGCGGCGGAACTATAGTCTAGTGGTAATGATCTTACGCAGGTTTTGATCTCGGAATGCAGACTTTATTGTTCCAAAGTGTGTTTTTTATAAATATACACACAGTTTAAAATTTTTAAATAGTACAATAATGGATAGTGTTTAAATGCTAGTAAAAAGTGATATTTAGTTACTATAATGTGAATATTATGTAAAGAGAACAATAAAGAGTTTCATTCATTCAAACTACAATCAAATTTACTACGCTTAAACTTATCACTTCTAAGGTGCTTCGTACTACTTAGGCATTCTTCGTTTCACTACTTTTGAATAGGCTAACTAAGTAATTCATCTGCAGATAAGATGTTTTTTTGGTATTCGTTGTTAGAAATATAAGAGGAAAAAGTGCCTTGAAAAATCTTCATACAAAAATTACACTTGTTTTCTAAGTATCGTTTTCACCTATGTGGTCCTAATATCCATATCTCGCTTTCAAGAAGTTTTATTAGGTTCAAATTAGGCCTAAAACCGTTGGAAAAGAATATGGGGATCTTTATTTGTATTGTAACTCTTCTCTTCTGTTTTTTATTTATAACTTTGTATTTACCATTGACTCTCAAGTGACAGTTGGTGTTAGGAGTGAAGAGAGTGTTTTATGTAAATGTTGAGAACTCACGGATGGCTGACAAAGTATACAAAGATGCTTTCTTTATTGAAGAGAGGTAAAACTGTTTGTGATATTCTGAAAACGGAGTTAGCGAACCCCGCCTACTCTTTGCAACAAACAGACAACGCACAAGGAAATAATGAATAATCAGAGTAATGATAATAAAACTTTCATAATAGTGTTGAAGTATGTATTTTAAAGTAAAAAATACCATAAAATGGTACAAATTACGAATAAGCAAGTAGTTTCAAGACTTTAAAGATAACATCCCTGACAAGACCCTAACACCTAGAACATAATAAGTTTACTACAGGATCTTGAACCACTGATGAAAATATCTATAAAGGCTAGGAAAATAAATTTTTATTTATATCCAAGATGGCGGCCAAAAATGAGTTCCCTATGTAAATGAAGTACTAACCACCCAATAAACTTCAGTGTTCGTCTCAAGTCAATATCTCAAAGATTTTTAAATAAAATATGCATGTGGTATATTTTTTCAAATTTGTCAAATGTTGGGAAAAGCAGCCATTTTTAATCGTGATTTTAGGAGGTTTTCTGTAGATTTTTGGCAACTTTTAGTATGTCACTCTGCAGACCCAACACTACAAAATAAAACAATAAAACGTTTTCTTGCAATTCTTTTAACGTTCCCTGTGTCAGTTTTTTTTAGTTTGCTTGGACTAATAGAGACTTTTCAAAATAACAAAAAATTTGACGATTTATTGTACAAAAACTTAAATATTTTCGTATCCATAAGTCTTAGAACCAAATTTTCATACTTATATTGTAGGAAATTTTATTGTCTACAACATTGACATTACATACCTTTCGCTAATACGCACCAAAACGGAGATATAGGTGAAAAACTATAAAAAGTACCGATTTTTCATTTTTTTTTTTCAATAAGGTGGCGGGTGCGGAGAGGGGATAATTGTGCATTTTTTATTTTAAACACCTACTTACCATTCTAGACAACATATAAAAAATGTAGACTTACCGCACAGTTTGTAAGTTAACCCCCCAATTTTTGTCTCTATTTACTGGACTATAATGTCTTTGATAAGAAATAGTGTCCTCTATATTGTAGATTTCTTTACAGAAATACTACATTTGTATAAGACGAATCAAATAATTTGTTCATTCTCGCGCTCTGATCAATAAATGTAGTTTAAATTTGCCAAAATTACCTTAATTGCCCATTTTGGGCTGAAAAGTAAACTAAGACTTGAAATATTTATATACCAACTTAAATAATGTTAGGCTTTTCAAACATTAATTTAGCATTAAACTCGTTAACCTACCAAAACACGATCATTAATTAGATTTTTTGAAAACTACTTTATTCCTTTATTATCTAGACCTAATTAAACCAGTTGTTAAGCATTAGCATAACATAATTTCATACCGTATTTTACATTTACTAACAATTATTAACGTGTAGTTGTATCTGCACATTATTTGTACTTTCACTTATTGCAGACTTTGAAAATTGACTACTTTTAGTTGATGAATAAAATAATAAACAAATAAACAAACTTCGTTTGCATTGTCCACCCCTTCATTATTCCTTCATCTAAATTGTTTAGTAATACTTCCCTACCGTTTATCTTATATCTTTACAGTGGAAAGATACTGTCTTCAGAGAAGTACAAAAAAGAAGCATTTAAGCTGTGCAATCCGTTGAAAGGAGGCTTTAACAATCCCCATTGTCTTCAG